TTTAAGTCTAGAACATTCAAATATTTCACAAAAAATTGCATTATTTTTGTTCACTGTTCAGTATGTAGTTAAGAACAAATAATTATTAAATGTTCTTATAGTTTGGCGCCACTTTCGCAAATTGTTTCGCCATACTTATATTTTTCATATTTACCAACTCAATTTACAGTGGCACTTTAATTTGCAATAGTAGACTTTAGCTGTTTTTACACAGAAACCCTCTCGGAAAAGTTGTTTATTTTTGTTTTACCATTTTTTTTTTTATTATTATTATTTCTTGGTGGAAATGGACTTAACTCAAATAAAACACAGCTAGTCAATTTTAAAATATGTAGTTAGTTAAAATCCCTAATTTACACCAGTTTATTGGCAGCGTAAAACACATTTACATAAAATAAGTGTTTAGCTACGAGTGCAACCTTTCAGTCCCTGCGCCGCATGCAAATAGTGAAAAAGAAAACCAGGATAAAACAAACCTGAAATTAGACTCATATGGAGCGGCAAGACCAAAGAAAGCGAGAGTAAGTTGCACAATAAAAACACCACCACCAGCACTCACACACGTTCCACACATCCTCAAAACAAAATGAAAAGTTTCCATGGCAGGACGCAGTCAGCATGTGGAGCTCATGTGTTTCTGATAAGCTTTAATGGGGAACTGTGAGGTAATGATGAAGTCATGCTTGTCCGTTGGACAGGTTCAAATAAAAGACTGCTTCTTTCCAAATGGTTTCATACTCACTCGAGCACTGACACACACTGTTAGGGCAAGCACACACACACACACAGAAATACGACTATAGTTTGCAGAGCTTGTCAGGGAAAGAGAAGATGAAATTACAGTTACAATTTGTGTTTATCTTTACACACGGCTGAATAGCAGATACTCTATATGTATTCTATATGTATCTGACATCAGAAAGCATACTGAGCCAGATGGAGCTGAGCCGAAGAAAAAAACCAACAGAAAGAAGTTCACCCTGCCCTGATCATCTGCAATATTCATGCGCTCCTTATGAAAAATGCGTGAAGAGAGACAAGCAGACACACCCGCAGAGCGGGAAAATAATGGAGAAAGAATAAAAAGGGCTCAAGTTATTAAAGACTAAACCATGTGACACTGATTTTAAATCTTGCCAATATTAGCAGAAAATTGTGTATCTACACAATAAACACAGTGACAGGACGAGCCGTATTGTCCAATTCGCATAAACATGACTCTCATGAAGCGATTCTTTTTACTGAGTCAGTCAAAAAGACTCACAAAACAACATTGAATGTACTGGTGAGTTTAGCGTTTGGAATAAAACTTGATCAGTCAAATGAATCACTAAACCACAAGTTAGTTTTGGTTACATTCAAATTGAACTGAACCGGCGGGAATCGTTACTGTATATCACATGATAACGTATAGCTAAAGACACATTCACAACAGAGTTCTGTTGTACAAAATAGGCCTGAAATGGTAATTTAAAGCCGAGTCTTGAATATTTGGTTACATCTTTACTACATACACTAAATTATTTTTGCCATAATAATCACAAAATATGCCTATAATGCCCAAAAAATGCTGAGTAGGTAGGCAGCTCACTATGTTTTTTAAGACAGAGCCAAAAATGTAAACACTCATATAGACTTGTGCCGGTATTCGGCGATATATCACGGTAATGAATATGCACGATATTGTTATCGTGGGCACTCAGATTTTCAAACTATTTTTGGAGGTTAAAACAAAAGTAACAAATGTAATTTTAATAATAAGAACTGAGAGCATAACAGAGAGCAAGTTCAGGTTTAAATTAAATATTAAAAGCTCATAAGAGGCTTTATTGCCCTTTTATGGCACATACACACCTTTCCCTGCAGACAAATTATTCTTCAATTTTTGTATCTCAAGTACAAGCTTGACTAAATTAGGATAATTTATGAATCAGGATCTCTAATAAGAGGATGCTAGAAGTAGCAGAATGCAAGGACAGCTTCAAAAGCACCACATCAATGCATGCGCCTTTGACTTTGACTATGCATCAGCAGGTCTTAACAATAAGGACGGCCTGCGGGCCCGGGGCCAATGTGTGTGAGAGACTTTTGAGCCAGTTGACAAAACAGTCTATGAGCTATTATCTTAAAGTTATTATTTATGTAAAGAAACCTTCACATTTGATGATATATACACACAAAAAGTTTAAAAATAATAATAATAACACACACATACATGTATGTATATATATATATATATCAGGGCTCGCAAAATTTCAAAATCCCTGGTAGCCCAGGCAGGCATTCTTCATATTTTGGTAGCACAAGATAAATTTAACTAGCCCGAATTAAAAAAAAAAAAAAAAAAAAAAAAAAAAAAAAAAAAAAAAAAAAAAAAAGACATTGGCTGAACTTCACTGCGGACAAATCAGCATGATCGAAAACTTCAGTGATTGTATATAAAAATAACTCAATTACATAAAAATTAACTAAAAATACAGAAAATTAATTCATAATTATATAGAGAAAAAGACTGAAAAATATTTTAAATAAAATATATTTATAATTTTTAAAATATAATGTATAATTATTTTTATTTTCAAAATATATATGTAATGTACTTTTTATATCTTAAAAATACATTAAGTATATATACACTGACGACAATAAGTATAATACAGTAAGATACAATAAACAATACAATTAATACAATAAATGAATTTATAATAATTCAATTAATCCATTACTAATATAATAAAATACAATACTTATATATACTGACACTGTGTGCATTAATGTCTATTTCACCTGACTAACACTAACAGCCCATGCATATTCATTCCTCTATTCATCTGCTGCATCAAACACAGTATCACTATGATTTAACACACTGCTGTCTAATCATGACAGAGCCGCAGCAGCAGCGCAGGGCGGGACGCGCTGGAACTTCAGCAGCGCTTCAGACGCGCGTCACAAACGCGTCCCTGTGCTGCGGCTGAAGCCACGCGGGACACCGCACAAATCCACTGAACACCGCCACAGACAGCCCTGCGCAGCCTAACCGAGGCCTGAGTAATAACACATCCGAGCAGAGCGCACTGAATGCCGCTTAACTTACCTTAACTTACGCGTCTGGAGAGTCGCGCGCAATCTGCTGCTTTCATTCAGTCCGCGTGCGCGTTCAGCGCGGGCAGCACGAGCGTTTTGAACTGTACTTCAGGGCAGTTGCGTGGAAGAGCGCGTGACGTCCCCAGCGCTGCGCAGACGACATCCGCAGAGTGATTGACGACGCACGCCGAGCTCAGCGGCTTCAGTTGATCCTCATATGATACCGATCTGAGGAAGCGCACTATATGGCAGGAAACCAGCGCTGCTCTGCGCTCGTCGCGTTTGAATGAGGAGCTAAATATGGCAGTCGGCGGAAAAACGTAAACTAGCGTTTTTATGGGGAATAATTGTTTAAAAATAGTAATATTTCTATTATTTATATAATTAATGCTTAAATGTTTCATTGATTCTTTAAAAAATACAGCGCTGAAAACTCTTTTTTATTTGTTCATTTTATCAACTATGTTTGTTCATTGATTATTGATAAAGTTAATAATAAATTAATTTGTCTCGAATTTTAATTAAATAATTAATATTGAACATTGTAAATGTCCTTTTTGTAAGTAAATAATAATAGGCTAATACAATATTTTGGTCCATGTAGCAATTACTAATATTGTTTCTAATCTATATCTGCCCCACACACAGTCATATTGACAATTAACTTGAGAAATGTTATTGCATTATCATTATACCAACTTGTACTTGGAATAACAAGAGGCATACTAAATAGATTTCGAATAGAATTCACGCAAAGGGTTAATCTAATGTCTTTATAAGCAAATGCTTCCATCTAGTGGTCAAAATGGTATTACATCACAATATAGTAGCGTGCTTCGCCATATAACGTGCAATGCTGTGATTGTGAACTGTGTATTGGCCATTACCGCACGAGTGTGAACCTTACCAGGGAATTTAAAAAAAGCTGTCGGATCCAGAGAATTTACCAAAAAGGTAAACTGTCCTTCTCATGAAAACTAGGCCTATCTAATGAAGAAATCATCTAATGAAGAAAACAGTAAATATTGTGTTCAATATTTAACTTTTCTGATCGATACACTACATATATAGGGCGGTTTACATTTGAATGAAGACACAACTGGTGGTTCTTACCAACAACTGTTATTAAAAGAGACAAGTGGGAAAATATATTGGAAAAACATATGCTGTTATTGAATCATAATCATAAACAAGCAAAGAAAACATTAGAAAAAAAACTTCCCACAGTAAAATGTTATACTGCCAGCTACAGAGCAACTATAACAAATAGTGAATTTCACAAACAACTACAAATAAACTGCAAGTACTGAATTAAATGTGAAGAAGAGTGTGGAGTGGTATTTTGGCCAGAAGCAAAGGTTTTTAAGTTTAGTTTTGGAATGTTATTTATTTATTTATTTATTCATTCACTTTTCTTTTACTTTTCACTTCACAAGACATTAACTGATGGACTGAAGTGGTGTGGATTACTTGTGGATTATTGTGATGTTTTTATCAGCTGTTAGGACTCTCATTCTGACGGCACCCATTCACTGCAGAGGATCCACTGGTGAGCAAGTGATGGAATGCTGAATTTCTCCAAATCTGTTTGGAAGAAGAAACAAACTCATCTACATCTTGGATGGCCTGAGGATGAGTAAATGTTCATTTTGGGGTAAACTATTCCTTTGTTAGTTTGTACCAACATCCTGCCGATGGCACCAAAAAAATGTTAGATTGAGTCTCTAGTCAGGAATATTAGATTCAACCCCAGACACTGGATCCCGTTAGAAAATATCTGTTTTGTCAGGTATCCATAATCAGTGTTTTACCAAATTTTGTCTAGTACTCAAAACTGTATTTAACAGTTTTCTATCATCAATCATTCTATCAGATGGAGAAAAGAGCAGAAAGCATGAGACAAAATGGTACAATGATCAAAATTTATTGAATAATCTTAGTTGTGTATGTTTCAATGCTCAGACTTCGTCTGCCTAGCATAAATCTAACAAGTGTTATTATATAGCCTCTGAAGGGCTGTTTGCACTTATTGTAAATAGACACTCCGATAAAATAAAGGGAACTTGTTTTGACATTATTAGTTATGGCTAAAGAGTGCACATATTTTTGGGGGCCACTGTTGATCTTGTAGTGAATTGAAATTACTCATCCTGTTTTTGTAACATCACAGAGACACCGAATTAGTATAAAGCACAAATCCAGCATAGAGGGGTTCAGTGAATGTGGTGTTGAATGTGTGTAAGTGTCTGAGTGTGTTTGTGTCAGAGATGCTGTAGAAGGACAGAATCCCAGCCGGCTCGTCCAGATACACTGCTACTTTGTTTAAGGGAGGTGCTGGGGGAGGAATGCGTGTTCCCATATTATCATGCCAGGCAATCAGTTTCTCCCCGAAGCAGCTCAGAATCCAGGATTTGTCATTGGCTCCAAACCTGCTTTCACAATCTTCACCTTTCCTGCCAATTCCTTCATATGACACGACCATATCACCCAACCCGCTCCATTCAGCTTCCCAGTAACAGCGTCCAGACAGACGCTCTTTACACAGAACCTGCGGAAGGCCGTCAAATCTCTCTGGATTATCAGGATATATCATTGGATCTGGATTACGCACCAACTTTTTGTTGCCGTCTGCAACAGACAGGAGATTGTGTGCCGTGTTTGGATCCAGTGTGAGATCAAAGAAATCTGCACAAAAGAAAAGAGAACACAATTAAGACCACAAAATATGTTCAAGAATCAAAGTGGTCAAATTGGACTTTTCGGTTCCACATAAATATTTTTGACCACATGTATACAGTAAACATTTTATACTTGAGATCTTATTCTGGTCTTCTGTAAAATGGTGTCCTGTGAAAAAAACGTAGGCTATGTGTAGACCTACATTTTAGGAGTTCTTCTCTACTCATGTTCTCTCCACTGTGTTCCATGATCCAGACTGTTAAATAAAAAGAAAAGCATAATGTGTCACCAAAAATGTTGAAGAAAAAAAAAAAAAAAAAAAAAAACACAAATGAAAGTTAAGAGACCAGCCAAAAAGGTAATTCGCTCTTTGCCACTAGGTGCCGCTTTTAGAGCGATAAAAATAGCGATTTCCCCGGTAACCCTGTACACAAAGCAGCATTGCGCCCACAAGTGCTGCTTTATCAGGCATTACAGGCTCATGATGAAATGAAAATGAGACCAATCGGACCAAATCACCGCAGATTAGCGTCATGGAAAGGAGGGGTTTGGAAAAATGAATCATTGAGCAAATCGTTTGGGAGTCGTTGAGTGAGAATACTTTTAATGCGCAAAGAAAACAAAAATAATGAATTTATTCTACAATTTATTCTCTTCAGTTTCAGTCAACGTGCATTAACAAGAGCACCACGACATATGCATGATGCTGCTGATGCAGGAGCCGGTGTTCTGTGATCTCTCATGAACGTGCATCGAAGACTGACATGGAAGAGAAGAAATTGTTGAATTAAGTCGCTATTTTTGTTGTTTTTTTGTGCACAAAAAAAGTATTCTCATAAAATGAAGTAATCTTCATTAAATTACGGTTGAAGCACTGATGTCAGGCTTAGCCTTCCCCTGGCCATGGGGAATTGGGGCAAAAATGCCACTAAATTGAACAAAAATGCCCCTGCACAAACAAATGAAATCTATTATTGTTAACTGTTGCTAACAAAGTGAATATGAATAGACAGTGTCGATTGCGGCATTAAATTAAGATCTGCTCATGTTGCACCATATTTCATTTTAGACGTTTTTACAGTGTTGCGCATTTAACCAATCACACACAATTCTGTTGAGCTTAGGAATGCAGTGGCCAATCAGAAGCGTTCAGATGAGTCATC